CTCCTCACTGCAGTCTTAATTTTAAGCATGAATGGAGGACCGTACACACTCTTCAACACACTGAACCCTGCTGGTTTGTGTACATGTACATCTCACGGATCCATGTTTCCGTCCAACACTTGGTTGCTCTTTTATCTGAGCTGCCTCTGTGGCAGGAAAGATAAGAGGGTTTGGGAAGGCCTTTGAACTGCTGAGCATCAATCGCAGATTTCTCTCCCCTCTATTTCCTCATTTGCGGACCTCAATGTAGGCTATTCGACTACTTCAGCCAACCCGAGCAGTGGATGCAATAATGATACCCGACACTTAAAGCAGAAAGTGTTGTGGTCTGTGCAACATATAGTGTTTTGCTCTCCCTCTCTCTCTCTGTGCTGCTTGTTTCTTTGTCTCCTTATCCATTTGCATGCCAACCCTTATCAAGCTGGGCTGTCCTTTCTTCAGCCTGCATCCTAATTATGCGTCTCAAAGAGAGACCGGCCGGCCCCCTACATCTGACAAGCGTCTGAGGAAAAAGCTGCATGTCTGATGACTAAATCCCGTTTTCTCGAAAAAGCGCCCATCACTCAAAGCTCACGTATGTAAGGGGACCCAAGTCTAACATGCTCGCCGAAGGAAACGAGGACGCTGCTTTAAGGTAAGGATGTCTCTGTTTACAATTATTGGGCTTTTTGAGATTGAGCTTTTTGGAAAGTTAATTCAGCAATTCTAATCAACAGGTGTCATTCCTGAGGAAATGCTAGAAAAAAATTAAATTACATTTCTGAGTCATGTGTTTTAGACATTGTCTTTAGATGGAAGATTTTACTCTTATTTCAGTATTTCAACTAATTATTTGCTCAAAGCAGATCACAATAACTATTAACTAACAGCTGTGTTTTATTATACATGACGTGTGGGGAAAAATATCCTTTATTTTTGATGACACGCAAGCCATTCACTCTTATTTTGTTTTAATATCCACCAATTTTGATCTGTTTTATGGCATACAGGGAGATATTAAATCACAAGTTACCTCAAAATTGCGTTTAAAAAGGGCCAAAGTGTTATCAAGGGTGTTATGGTCTGTTTGTTTCATATATATTGTAAATGGCTAAGGTGTCATCCCACAAATTAGCGTGAAATCTCTTTCCCGCTTCCCAAACCCCCCGTCAAGGGTAAAGTAATGAACACTCATCTGCTTGTGACAGGGCCTCTCCATCTCTCTCTCGCTGTTAGACAGGAACATGCGTTTCTTCA